TAATATTTAACAGATTTATGTAGGACTGACTGACTTAAAAAATGTGTCTTTCTATTACAATAAATTACTTCCATTTATTTTTAGAAAGCTCTGTTAGAAGTTCTTCCTTACACTACAGCAAAAAAAAAAAAAAAAAAAAAAAAAAAATCTGCCCTTTGGTCCTAGTTATTTGTACCTTTGATTGGATTCCTGGCCTCCTTTTGTAGTTATTTGGGTGCATACAGCTTCCTTCTCTCTTTGAATAGATAAGAATAGCCTGGAGAAGAGAAACCACTGTTCTACTCATCTTCCTGACCCTCTAACAGCATCTAGGACAGTAGCTTGTAAACAGAAAGTATCCGATTTTGTTTTGCTGAAGTCACAAAATGAGAGCTACAGACTACAGCTGTCAATATTAGGAGGAAAAATTCCATTACTATGAAGTGAAATTTTTTAAAAAGTAGAAAAATAGAAGTGAATTTTTTAAAAACACACACAAAAGAAACTATCTTTAGTAACCAAAGAACAAGACTAATCCCCACTGGAGGTGTGGAAGGCTGCGGTTAGGGAAATAGGGCCCAAGGCCTAAAGGGTGTAGAGCAGGACCAATTCAGGAAAACCTTCAGACTGGTTAAGACAGCAAAGAGCCAGAGAGAGAGAGGAGGAGGCTGCCCAGGCACGGCTGGGTCTGACATAATAGATGGTGAGTATACTGACATAATAGATGGTGAGTATACAGACCAGTTCTATGACTTACTGGAGTGAAACTAATGCGTGACTCAAAATGTCCAAGTTCAAGAATGAAGACCAGATCTAGCCAGTTATTTTTCAGGAGATGGTTTTAGAGGGACTTATTCATGATGTAATAGAGTAATCTGATGGACTGAATTAGAAAACAGACAAGAGTCCATTTGCCCTGTATGGAACACAGGTAAAAGCTATGAAAGATGCAAATCGGCTGCTGTCCCTATTTTATCCTGAAAGTGGTATCCTTGCTCTACAGCAGCATTCTCACTGGTGATTCTGCCAGGGGACACTGGGCAATATTTACCTACTGACATGTCACAACTAGGAGTGAATGGTGCCATCTACTTAGAACACAGAAGCCTGGGCTGATATTATACCCTACTTTGAACAGGCAGCCACTCCACAACAAAGCATCATCTGGACCAAAATGTCAACAGCATCAAGGTTGAGAAGCTCTGGTCTGCAGGGGCTTCCATCTAAACCATAGCAAAGAGAATGTGTCTACCCTGATTTAAGTCAATGCTTAATTCTGTGATATCTGTTCAGTCACCACAATAATGAAAACAGCAACTATTTTTTCCCCAGTATTGGGGTTTGAACTCAGGACCTTGTACTTGTTAGGCAGGCACTCTACAAAGTTTTCAGCCCAGTTTGCTTTTGTTATTTTTCAAGTAGGGTCTTGTACTTATGCCAGGGCAAGCCTGAACCGCAATCCCCCTATTTCTACTTTCTTCCTAACTGTGATGACAGGTTTGAGCTTTTTACTAGGCTGGCCTCAAACTATGCTTCTCCCAATCTCAGCCTCCAGAGTAGCTAGTCTTCCAGTGTAAGTCATTATTGGCTAGATTTGGACTTTTAAACTATGCTGAAACTACTAAGACTGTGGGACTTCTGGGAGATGGACCTAAACTGCATTTTGTATTTGTGAGATCAGTGTGAGCCTTTGGGACAGGGGGTTGTGCTAGGATATAGAATCCTTCTCACTTCCAACTCGTGTGTGTGTGTTTGGTCCCTACTGCACTATTCAGAGTGATGGTGTGTGAGTGGATCATGAAGGCTCTCACCCAGTCATGAATTAATACATTCATGGCCTCATAATTTGGTGGCATTACTGGGAGATGACAGAAACTAGATTAGTTGAATATAGTAGGTACCTGAGGATATGCTTTGGAATGGTGACCTGATCTTCATCCTCTTCTCTCTCTTTCTACCTCCTGGTTATTATGACATGAGCAGCTTTGACTCCCACCACACTTTTCTGCCAACATGGTATCATACCTCACCATAAGCCTACAGCAATGGAGCCAGTCAGACTATGTACTGAAACCAGGAGTAAAAATAAATCTTTTCTCCTTTTTTTTTCTCATCCTGATGGAAAATTAACACACCAAGCTAACTACTATCTCTATGATTGTTCACATAGTTCTTATGAAAATCTTGTGGAATATTATTGGTTCCATCTTGCAATCTTGGAGAGGTAGAAACTTTATCCTTGTGCTGAGTAATTACATGGTTAACATCACCCTCACATGACCCTTCCCAAATCAGCAATTAACCGTGTACAGCAGAGACATTCAAAGGAAGCCGGGCTCTAGTGGCTCATGCCTGTAATCCTAGCTACTCAGCAACTGAGATCTGAGGATCTCAGTTCAAAGCCAGACCAGGCAGGAGAGTCCATGAGACTCTTTATCTCCAATAAACCACCAGAAAACCAGAAGTGGCACTATGGCTCAAATGGTAGAGTGCTAGACTTGAGGTGAAGAGCTCAGGGACACTGCCCAGGCCCAGAGTTTAAGCCCCACAACCAATAAAAACAAACAAAAACAAACAAACAAAAACCCAGAGACATTCAAAGGAAAGCTCAGTGTGAACATCTAGGGATAGATCTTATCCTTGAGACTGATGTGAGTCAGAAAGCTCACAGAGCTGTCTTCCAGCAAAGTGTAGCATGGGCATTTGGCATCCACTCTTTGGCTTCCTATTCCTTGGTACTACCTATCTTAGAAAAGCCAGGAGTAGTACAACGACATCGTGAAAATTAACAGAGTATTCATAGAAGGATAATGAAGACAATAAATGAAGAATAAATAGCACTGTGATAAGCAATGATACATTTATAAAATTTTTTAAAACCATCAATTGATTCAAATGCCTACATGACACAACTGAGGAATGGAGGCCTGGGAGAAAGTTTACTTGCTTAAGGTCACAATGTCAAAACATGAGAACGCTCAAGCATACTGCAGACTGAAAACCAGAGGAACTTCCCACACAACGACAAAGGACTGTGGGTCTCTAAAAATAGTTGTTTCCTTACATAATCCAATGCCACCGTTACACCTGCCAGGATCAGCATCACTCCATCTAACAGCCAATTCATTATTAAATTGCCTTATTTACCTCCAAAGGTATTTTTAGAGTTGGTCTATTAAATCTGGATTCAAACAAGGGCCATAGAGTCTTAAGGATCTTAAGTGTCTGATAACCTAAGCAGTCCTCTCCCTTTTTACCTTCATAGGGTTGTCTTATGACAGAAACTAGGTCAGCCGCTTTATACAATATCCCACATACTGGATTTGACTATTTACTTCCTTGTGTTGTCAATTAACTTATTCTTTTTATCCCTTGTACTTTTGGTAAGTGAAAGTAGCTTTAGAGGTTCGGGTTTCACTTTTGTGTGTGTGTGTGAGAACACTGCATGGGAGATACTGAGTGCTTCCCATTGGGCCACATCAAGAGGGCCATGTCTGCCTTGTCCTACTTTTAGAAATGCTAAGCTTGATCAGATTCTGAAGGGAGATGGCCCAAGCCCTCCATCGACCTTTCACCCCAGACTGGAGAGGCCCAGGCGGGAAGAATGCTAGTTTGTGGTCAGCCTGGGCTATGCACAAAACAAAAGCCAGCAAATAAAAGATAAAAGTAACTGAAAGATGCTGGTATCTGTGCAGTATCTCTATGAGCAAACCTGGTATCCCTCCTGTCACATTTCCTAACCGGTCATATCTCTGCATCCCCGTGTTCTCCTCCGGGACAAGAACACCCGAGGGACACCTCCACTTCCAGGTTCCTCTTTCTTCCAGGGCCCCAACCCGCTATCCACCCATCCCTTCCGGTGCAGGGTGCCGGCGCCCTGCTCCCCCAGGGCGGCAGGGGGCGCCGCAGGCCCAGGCGCTGCCCCCGGGGACCCCCGCAGCTCCCATTTGGGGGAGGGGGGGACGGGGGTCCGCGAAGCGCGGGAATCCAAGCAGAAGGTGGCCCTGCCCTCTCCTCCGCCCGAGTCCAACCGGAAAGGCCGCTGGGAGGCAGGCGCCATGGGCACGGGGGGGCTGTGCGAGGGGCCGTGGGGGCCTGCTGCTGCTCCTGCTGGGTGAGCCCCGGGCCCAGGGCGGGCAGACAGGCCTAATTCCATTCCTCTCAACCCCAAGCAGGAGGAGGCTCTCGATGGCCAGTCACCGAGAACGTTAGCGGAAGGTCTCAGCCGCCGTGTCCGGGAGGAGGCCGGAGGCCGGACCCCACGTGCGGCGGAGGAGGAAGAAGGAAGGAAGGCCGCAGGAGGTCCTCACGGAAGAAGGCATCATATACAGCCCAGGCGCCGCTGGGATGCTCTGTGCTGGACACGGGCAGTCCACACACTAAGATCCCTGTCTTCATGGGACCGGGAGTCAGTAAAGTAGAAAGCATGTGAGAAGTCACTAGAAAAAGCTGTAGGAGGACAGGAACAGCTGAAGTTCAGGGGGAAGAGGTAAGTCGCAGTTTAAAATAAGGTGGTCAGAGACAGCCTCACGAAGGAGCCGTTTGAGCCAGGTCTTGGAGAGGCTGCTGCGTGGTAGAGCGCTTGCTTGCAGGTGCTAGGCCCTGGGTTCCATAGCCCACATTACCAAAACCCAAAACACTACCACCAACAGAACTAGAAAACCCAGTCTGATGGGAATAACTAAGTCAGCTAAGAGGATCCAGGAAAATGACATTTCAAGAGGATGGAATAGGAGCAGCTTCTAGCATAAGCATGTTGTTATTTTTTTCTGGCCCTTACAGACTTAAAAGAATTTGAACTGCAGCAGAGAATGATACATAAATGCTGCAAAATGCCAATTTAGTTAAACAGTACAAACCAGCTTATAAATCTCAAAAGCAAGGCTGGGAAGGTGGTTTAGTGGTAGAGTGCTTGCCAAGCAGGCATGAAGCCCTAGGTTCGAGTCCTCAGTACCACATAAAGAGAAAAAAACTGGAAGTGGTGTTGTGGCTTAAGTGGTAGCATGCTAGCCTTGACCAAAAGAAGCTCAGAGACAGTGTCCAGGCCCTGAGTTCAAGCCCAGGACTGGCCAGAAAAAAAAAAGCATTTCAGAGCATTGCTTTGTTTACAACTGGAAATACCTGAATTCAGTGAATATAGATACAAGATGTCTTAAGCACTAATAACATGTCCTCCTTAGGGTTTTCCCTCTGTTCTGTTTCCAAAAAGAAAGACTTACAATCAGGTGAGTGGTCTCCACAGGCTGGGTTTGAACTCAGATGGGGCAGAGCATGGACTCCAGGGAGGGCTTAGATCCTTGGAAGGGGTAAGGTCTGGGGATGAAAGGAAGGGGACCAGATCTCCGCAGTTCTCTTTCACTTCTTTCTCTAGTGTGTGGACAACCTGTATTTTCAAGCCACATCATCAGTGGCCAGGATGCTGCTATCAGACGCTGGTCTTGGCAAGTCAGCCTTCATTTGGACAGGGCCCCCATCTGCGGAGGGTCCCTCATCAGTAAGAACTGGATACTGACCGCCGCACACTGCCTACCAAAGTGAGTTCTAGCTGCTATCATGTGGACAGCCAGCTTTTCTGTAAATGTTGGAATGGTTTCACAAACGAACCATGTAAATGAGTGGACTGTCCTCACCTTGGTAGAGGACAGTCATTGTAGTAGAAATTTTCTAACTTTTAATCAAATCACTTCCTAAATATGAGCAGAGGGGTTGTCTTAGCTTTTTGTTTTCTTTGGAGGGGGGTGTCATAACCATGGCCCTCTCACAGAGCCATTATATTCAAGAAGTTGCCTTTAGAACATCAGCAGCCACGGGGAGAGACCCCATCACACTAGAACTTGTCTTCCAGGAAATGACTCTGCTGAAGGCCTAAAGCAATAAACCAGAGTCTGGAATCCAGTTCTCCCCCAAGCAAACTTGTGATACCTGAGCCCACCTGGAGTTAGGAACCCAGTGACATATATGTCAGTTTTTCTGAGCCACTAGGCCTTGCCATAATGTGTTACATAATAATTGATAACTAACCTGGACAGAAGTCAAAACAGCAGGGCTTTTCAACAACCACAGTGAATGCTCAAAGAGAATAAAGTAACAACGTCAAAATGCTGAGGGCAAATCAGCCTAAAATTCTCCCCATATATAAAATACCAATTAATATGGGGTACAAAGGATACATTTCCAAACATGCAAAGCAGCCAAAATGTTACCTCTCAAGCACACTTTCTGGGGAAGTCATAGGCTCATGTGTTTCACCAACATGAAGGGAAAATAAAAAGAGAAAGATGAGATCCAGACAGAATTCCCAAGAAGATCATAAAATTTAAGGGAAGTGCCCGAATGATGGCAGCCTTGACAGAACCAGAGGGCAGAGGACACTAATAAAGGCAGTCTTCATAGAATGCATGGCAGGCTTGGATGTGAGATTTACAGTTTGGACAGAGTTTGTGGAAACAATGATGAATCACTCATGGGTACATAGAAAATTAAGAGAGCAAAGTGAGATGCCATTATTAACTCTAGGAGAAGCAAAAGGCTTTACAAGAAATGTAATCACGAGACCAGATATAATGTTTGCTCAGCCACGGGGACGTGCACATAAATCCTGTGCTAACAGAAACTTATGACAACACTGGGGAAGAAGATGGATAAAAAAAGAGAAGGCTATCTCGGGCCTGTTTTGTTGGTCTAGACTTGGTTTTGTATGTGTATTTTAGTTAATATTATCAAGTATTAAGGGTTAAGTCTTAATGCTAAAAGTAAAAAGTAGAAAATAATCCCTATAGAAATGTCCTTCTGTTAGTTTTTAGGAAAAACTGTCTCCTAGGAGTGAATTATCTCAGCGTGTCTGGAGAGATGGTGAGGGAGAAGAGGAAGGTGGGGAAGGCCTCCGTTAGCATTGCATTTTTGGTAAAATACTTACATTGTACACAAAGCTCTCATTATTTCAGAACATCTAATCTTTATAGATGTCCTGAGATAATATATGGTAAAAAGTAGAAGTAGGGAATTAAATAACTTCTAAATACCTGTTACAATCAGCAGATCCATCTTGGATGGATTGTGCCACCTCTGGGCAATGAAGTCAGGACTGACTTAGAGGCTGGCAGGAGAGGGTAGGAATAGGAAGCCTGCAGGGAGAGAGATGTGTGCAGGTGTGCTCAGAATTTTACTTTGATTAGAACCATTGATGTATATGGTTCTGGTTGTCCCCTAGGGATACATATATTTAGTAGAAACATTCTTGCTAATAGTATGCTATAAGCCTACTAATGAGTTTTGAAATTGCTTAGTATATCTTGCTTTATGTCTCTTTAAATTGAGCATAAAAGAAATTCAGTATTTTAATTGTAACTCTGCCAATACTTCTGTCTAGAAGCCTGTTGCTGTTTTTGTCTTCAGTGAAATTTTTATCCCTAAGAAAAGCAGGAATGCATTTTTTTTTAACCAAACAGATTGAGTTTGTGTAGTTTATTCTTGGTTATCAAAATATTCATGTAGCTTTGGGATTTTGAATTGGTGAATTTGTAACATTTGGAAAAGCATGACACAAACCATAGATCTGTTACCTAAAAAGGGATGGGTGTATGTACATGGAGGATCTAGACAGTCATGTCCACCTGAACTGCTTGTGGCAGTAATACTTTGCACTTTGCGAATATGTTTTCTGTAACTCACATGTTAAATAAAGGTTATTAAAAAAAATAAAAATAAATGAAAATAAATGAAAGAGGGGGTTGGGGGTAAGCTGTGATACATAACTTAGTCTTCTCCTTCCATTTAAGAATATTCTAAAAAGAGAGGGGAGGTGTTAAGAAACATAAATATATAGTGTTTCTTGAAAATACCAGGGAAATGAGTAAGGGCTAAACAGCTGAAAGAGACTGCCTCAGAATAAGGTGAATTTTTGTTTTTGCAATACTGGGAAATAAATTCAGGTCTCACTCATGCTAGGCACCCACTTTTTTTTTGGGGGGGGAGAGTCTTGCCTAACAGGTGTGTACTACCACACCCAGCAGAACTTCTTCATTTATTTTATACAGCTTATCAAATTACCTGGCATTTTAAGTTATTTAAACTGTAACCCATTACAATTTGCTTTCTTTTTCTTTTTTTTTTTTTTTTGCCGATTGTGGACCTGAACTCTGGGCCTAGGTGCTGTCCCTCAGCTCTTCAGCTCAAGGTGAGCGCTCTACTGCTTGAGCCACAGCGCCACTTCCGGCTTTTTCTGTTTATCTGGTGCTGAAGAATCGAACCCAGGGCCTCATGCATGCAAGGCAAGCACTCTACCACTGAGCCACCTTCCCAGCCCCCATTACAATTTGCTTTAAAGTTTTATTTAGGACAGAAATCAAAACTGACAATGAAGAAGAATGACTATTAAGCATACAGGTGGTGGTTTACCAGGGAGAGAATTGGGGAGAAAACATAAAACATAATTCTAGCTATGAGCATGTAATTGGAGACCAACAGAAGAGCAGTCAAGCAATAGAAAGAAGGAATCAAACTAACCCTAGCCCAAGATCAACTGGACCCCGATTAAATCCCAGTATGCTATCCTTTCTTGCTGTGTTCATTGTGATATAGAGACAGCTTCTCCTACCCAGTGTAGACTATCAGCCTGCTGCACTTCTATTCTCTCTTTTTTCCATAGGACCTCAGCTTATTCATACACTGTTTGGCTGGGATCCCTTAAAGCAGATGCCTCAAATAAAGGCAAGGTATACTATGTGTCCCGAATCATCGTCCACCCCAAATACGATGGCTCAAATGCAGACATTGCCTTGCTCAGACTGTCCTCCCAAGTCACCTTCTCTGCGGAGATCCTACCCATCTGCCTGCCCAGTACCTCAAAGCGGCTGAAGATCCCAGCTTCTTGTTGGGTGACTGGATGGGGACTAGTTAAGGAGAATGCAGGTGAGAATGGGCAGAGACAGAGGTTGTTTCCTACATCATCCTGGTGTTCCTATTCCAGAACATTCACATTCTAGCTATGTCCTTATTATAGCAAATGTTCTTCAACAAAATCAGATCCACATAATGATATTATTTACAAATAAAAAAAAGTTCTTCTGGCATTTACATGGTTATGTAGTCTTATATCCTGTCTGGAGTCTAACTACGGCGGTTAAAGCAGATACTAACAATTTAAATACTTAATTTCTTCTCTCTGGTTTAGAGCTTGACATAAGGTTTGGAGAGAGGCTAAACCAATTTGATTCATTTCCAATGTGTTGTGTCAACTATTTCCATTGGATGAAGTAGAGATAAAACAGGAATTGACTTGCAAGCAAGAAAATGGAAAAGTTTTGAAATACCTTAGAATACTCACATCTTTACTCAACCAGATGCATATCTTTATTTGGAATAACAATCTTTGTTCAGAATAATGACACAACAGAAAAATCCTCCAACAAATAATTGAAAATTCTCCACAACTTTCTATTTCATTGTACCAAAAATCCCTCCATAAGTTAACAAGATTGGGAAGTACCTGAAATCTGCCTTATGGTTTCTGTTGAGAGACTTCTACACATTTTGACTGAGTGGTGCCTAGCTTTCCAGGCTGTTTTACATCTCTTTCCTGTCCCTGCAGGAAGCTGAAGTACCTGTCTTTACCCGCCAGGAGTGTGAACAACTCTATAATCCAATCGGCATCTTTCTGCCGGCATTGGAATCAGTCATCAAGGAAGACATGATTTGTGCTGGTGATATTATAAACAAGAAGGATAGTTGTAAGGTTAGAGTTTGAGCTTGAGACTTTGTTTTTGGAACTTTGTCTTTAAGAGATCTTAATTTGGATCCTAGTTTCCCTATCCCTAAATAACAACAAATTGGGAGCTAACCATGATTCTTGTGTTACCCTGGACAAATCAATAACCTATCAGTTAATATAACAATTTAATATCTTCAAGGTTAAGATTATTGATCTAGACCAGTAATAATAAATCATTAAACTTTTCCAAACCTGTTAGGTCTTCATAAATATATTAAAATTAAACCATAATTGCCAACTTTTTAAAACGTTTTGTGTGCTGGTCCTAGGGTTTGAACTCAGGGCCTGGGTGCTGACCCTGAACTTTTGTGTGCAAGGCTAGCACTGTACTACTTGAGCCACAGCTCTACTTCTCAACTTTTCATGCTTAATAGGAGATAAGAGTCTCATGAACTCTCCTGCCAGGGCTGGCTTTAAACCACAATCCTCAGATTTCAGCCTCCTGAGTAGCTAGGATTATAGGTGTGAACCACTTGTACCTGGCTTTTTTTGTGTGTGTGTGTGTGTCTTGAGATAGTTTTTACTTTTTTTAATTGCTATTGTAGAGTTGATATACAGAGGGGTTCCAGTGACATGAATCAGATAATGAATAATGAATACAATTCTTTTTTGGGGGGAGGGGGGGTCATGGGACTTGAAACTCTAGGTCTAAGTGCTGTTCCTCAGCTCTTCAGCTCAAGGCTAGTGCTCTACCATTTGAGCCACAGGGCCACTTCTGGCTTTTTCTGTTTATGTGGTGCTGAGGAATTGAACCCAAGGCCTCATGCATGTGAGGCAAGCACTCTACCACTGAATCACCTTCCCAGACCTAAAATTCTTTTTGAACCATGTCTCCCCTTCCAGTTGAGATCAAGTTTTAATGTCTAACTCAAGCTAGTTTGAACTTGATATCCTTCTACATCAATGTTGGAATTATAGGTATATACCACCATACCTGACTGTTTTTCAAAATATATTCTTTTATGAATTTCACAAAACTTGGGAATATTTCAGACATGTTTTCTTCAAACATTCCTCTGCCTCATTTTCCCACTTTTCCCCTTTATATGTAAATTACATAAGATATGCCGTTTGATATTTATAGACAAGTCCATTTTATTTTTAATACTTTCACTCTGCTCTTCCAACCATTTTAATCTGCATTGAAGACCACTATCCCTTTTTGCTGCCATTTAGACTGTACAATTATGTAAGTGCACCTTGTGCAATTTTTAAATTTCAGGTAATTTTTTTTAGTTCTAGAATGACCATTTGGTTTTATTCTCTCTCATACATACATGCATGGACACACACACACACACACGTGTGTGTGCATACACACATTTTTCTAGATCTCTCCTAAGAGCTCTGAATATCTGTATATTATTTGCATACTTCCCTCCACATGTATTGATCACACTTAGAATAGCTGCTTAGAGATCTTTACTTGGTAATTCTAAAACCAGAGTTATAATAGCAGTATTTTCCACTTATTGCCTTTCCTCCCAAGTAACAACTGCCAAGTGATCTTAGGAAACCTCTCTCTGTGTCTTTGTGTTGTTATTTGCTTTAACATCTAGTAACTTTGGATCCTATCCTGGATGTTGTCAGTGATGGGATGTTGGGAAGATGGATTCTTGTAAAGAATAGACCATTAGCTTGGCTGACCCCACACTCCAACCTGAGAGGCAGCAGCCGTCCCTTTAGTCTGAGCTGTGTGGCCTGGCACCCTACCCATCCTGCATGTAGTTCAGGGTCACCCAGCCATTAGAACAGAATTTACACACTGGGGCTTCCTTCATGTGGCTTTTTCCTTTCTGGTATTTTTCCCTTCACTTTCAAACTACTACAGTAGCTGGGAGCTTTATCTTGCTTCATAAGCCTTTAGGACTGTGGGTTTAAGTTTCAGCTGCAGCCACCCCATAGGATAATAACTGAAACTATGTTAGGGAAAAACCATTTTGTCAAAAAAAAAAAAAGTTAACTCTAGCTTCTGCCACTTCTGGCAACTCTCCACTATCTCCAGAGAATTGGCTTTTATATTCTGTCCACAATTTATAACTGTTATCTGCAGTATCTGAGAGAAGTTACTCTCATGTAAAACTTTAAAAACAGAGTCCTAAGAATAGCAGGCTACAACCTCTTCTTGAGAGCACAGAGACCATACACACTTGGGTGATCCTAAAATTTCTATGGAAATTCAAGTGAATGAGAACAACAAACTTGGTAGAGCCATACTTTTTGACGTCAAAACTTACTACAAAGAAACAGTAATAAAGACAGTTTGGTTCTGACATCAGAAAGACATTCAATTCAGGGTTATATGCTTATATATACAACAAATTGACCAAAGGATGGTATACTTAGGCAAGGATTCTAATGATGTAACTCCTCTGAACAACTAAGGAACCATTTAATCTAAGTTTGATCCCCAGTGCTGAAAAAAAATTGCACATAAATGTTCACAGCAACGTGATTTGTAATAGCCAAAAGGTGGACAAATTTCAAATATACATCAGCTAACGAATGGGCAAACAGAACGTAGTATAACAATATAATGGAATATTATTCAGCCATGAAAAGGAATGGAATATTGGAGTATAACAGATAAATCTTGAAAAAAGTATGCAAAGCTAATAGGAAATTATAATATTATATGATTTATTATAGTATTATATAATATATGATATACAAAATTATAATATATGATTTTGTTTATATAAAATGTCTACAATAAGCAAATTCATAAAAGGTAGATAGTAGATCACCAGTCTGTCTAGAGCTGGGAGGATTGGGAAAAAATGAGGTATGGAAGGGAAATGTTCATAATGAACATGGCGATACTGCGTAATACTATAAATATATTCAAAGCCATGTGTGCATCATAAGTGCAAATTTTATGGCATATGAATTTTATAATAATGAAGTTACACATATAATATGGTCTATCAATGTTATAAAGCTGTTATAAAAAAAAGAATGAAATTGAAAGCCATACTATCAACTACTATCACTTATTTTATTTCAAATGATTATTTGAACATAAAAAGGCAGTAAGACCCTAAGAACAGAAAACAAGAGCGGTTCATTCAAATGATTATTTCATTTTGTGAATGAAAGACTTGATGTATGAAAATTGATCACACTCATTTGATTCTGCTTTATCATGTAGCTGAATGTTTTGAAATGACCAAGATATTTTGCTAAGACCTTTGCCAATTTCAAATATTTTGGCTCTAGAATTCCTGTGGCCTCCTCCCAAGACTACAGTACAACATCCACATCCCTCAGAGTGCCATAGCTCCTGAGGTCTCAAGGCCTGTGCTGAAGAACATTCCCCACTATGAATACTCCTTTCCATACGCCTTCCACCAACTCATCACATTTCCCTCTTCCTTAGGGTGACTCTGGAGGGCCGCTGTCCTGTCATATTGGTGGCATTTGGATTCAAATAGGAGTGGTCAGCTGGGGAGTGCAATGTGGTCAAAGGCTTCCTGGGGTCTATACCAGTGTGTTCTACTATTAAAAATGGATTAATCAGGCTGGGAAGGTGGCTCAGTGGTAGAGCACTTGCCTTGCATGCTCGAGGCCCTGGGTTCGATTCCTCAGCACCACATAAGAAAAAAGCTGGAAGTGGCACTGTGGCTCAAGTGGTAGAGTGCTAGCCTTGAGCTGAAGAGCTGAGGGACAGCGCCCAGGCCCAGAGTTCAGGCCCCACGACCGAACCCAAAAAAAAAAAAAAAAAATGGATTAATGACACTGCCTCAAGAGCTGAAGTCTTGGGAGCCAATGATCCTGACTCATTTGACTTCCTGTTCCCTATGATACTACTCTCTCTGGCTCTCCTGGGGCCTTTCTGGGCCTTTGGGCCTAACATACCTGGAGAGTAGGTAACATAGATGAAATGAAAAGAGGGTTGGAAGGCCAAGAGAGTAAATCCCAGGGGGCAGGGAGCTCACAAGAGTCACCGGAAATCCTGCATGACTTCCTTTATAATTTGAAATGATTAAGGTTCATTGTTCTGTGTTTCTGATGTTGGAATGTGAATAAACTAAGCAATAACACATTTGTGCATGGTATTCTTTGTCTCGCTAATGTGTTTTAGGAGGGAGAGGGGATGCCCTCTATGAATATATATTTGTTGTACAAATTACATAACTACTGGAGAAATCAGCCAGGCAAAAGTATCTATGGTTTCATAAACAAATTGTCCTCCAGGAACTAACGGTCTTCATTATATACCCATAGGGGATATCATAGGCTTCTACTCAGTTTATATTTGTCATCTCTGCTGCCATCCTATGTTCCCTTCCAATCCTCTTCTGGCCCTCAAACTATAACAAAGGGTCTAAAAAGAAATGCATTTATGTAGTTCAGTTCATAAACTACTATAGCAACCTACTACTAAAATAGATGAATGCCAGACATAGTGGTACATACCTACAGTTCCAGCACTCAAGGAGGCTGAGGCAGTACTGTCATAAATCTGAGGCTTGTTTGGGGTACGTACTAAGACCTTGTTCTCTTCCTAACTGACTGCCATTGATAACGACTAATGTTATGATCTCCAGAGATAAGGTGGTGAATGTCAGCAATCTTGACCTATTCTGGTTGTTTAATGTCACTTCTATAACTAAGGAGTAGATTGTAAGCCTTGCTTTCTTTTTAAAAATAATCACAGGGGCTGGTGGCTCAAGCCTATAGTCCTAGCTACTCAGGAGGCTAAGAGCTGAAGATCATGGTTTGAAGCCAGTCCAGGCAGGAAAGTCTGTGAGATTCCTGACTCTAATAAACTACTCAGAAAAAGCCAGAAGGCTGGGATGTAGCTCAATGGCAAAGCACTTGCCCAGCAAGTGCAACGTCCTGGGTTCGATCCCCAGTACCAAAAAAGAAAAGACAAAAAAAATACAGTTAAAAAAAGCCAGAAATGGTGCTGTGGCTTATGTGATAGCCCATTAACCTTGAACACCAAAGCTCAGGGACAGTGCCCAGGCCCTGAGTGCAAGCCCTAGGCCTGGCAACAACAATAATAACACAACAACAACAACAAAATCATATGACCTATTCTGTTCTCTTCTGCCAGAAGCCCAGAGCTAAGTTTTTAACTTGTCTACAATCATTATCCTCTCCTGGATTTTCCGTATCATTCCATTCATACCCTCTTAAGTCATCTTTTATTTCTCACTTATCTTATTTTTTGCATTTGAATCTTTTTTTTTTTTTGTTCGGTCATGGGGCTTGAACTCTGGGCCTGAGTGCGTCCCTCAGCTCTTCAGTTCAAGGCGAGCGCTCTACCACTTGAGCTACAGCACCACTTCCGGTTTTCTGGTGGTTTATTGGAGATAGGAGTCTCACGGTCCCTCCTGCCCGGGCTGGCTTTGAACCACGATCCTCAGATCTCAGCCTCCTGAGTAGCTAGGATTACAGGCGTGAGCCACCAGCGCCCAGCTGCATTTGAATCTTTTACAGTAAGATGACTCTTCAGAAACAATGTTTGGACAAATAAATACATTTACTAAGAAGTGAAGATAGAAGCCTGGTGGGGTGGCACATGTCTGTAATCGCAGCACTCAGGTGGCTGAGGCAGGAAAAACACTGAGGTCAAAGCCAACCTGGGCTCCATGGCGAGGTCTTGCCTCACAAAAAGGGGGTGGTGGCTAGAGTCCTAAGTTAAAACGCTAATACTGCTGAAAAAAAAGAAAGGAACAAAAGGGAAGGAAGGACATCCATCAAGCAAAAGTAGGTTTGGAAACTTAAAACCTATGCTCATCTTTGGTTTTCTTTTTTTCAGTTGTGGGGCTTGAACTCTAGGCCTAGGTGCTATCCCTCAGCTCTTCAGCTCAAGGCAAGTGTTTTACCACTTGAGCCATAGGGCCACTTCTGGTTTTCTGGTGATTAATTGGAGATAAGAGTCTCACAGACTTTCCTGTCCAGGCTGACTTTGAACATCGATCCTCACATCTCAGCCTCCTGAGAAGCTAGGATTACAGGCCTAAGTCACTGGTGCCTGACATCTTTGCTAATCTTTACTGTCACTTTGTATCTAGACTGCCTCCAGTCTCTAAAATGCTTCCCCAAGTTTTTCCTCCATCTTACCTCTACACCCTATTCCAGTTACTCTTCACAGCACTTCTACCAATGATTTAAAACTAAAAGGATGTTGTATACTTTTCTACTTCTTTCCCCTTGCACATAGCACTTCAAAACTATCCAAAATCTTTCATAAGATCCACAAAACCCCATAGATTGGCTCCAGTCTGTCTTTCCATTTACCATCACTCCACCTTGTGCTTTCTGCCTAAACTGCTTTGATGCTCTGGCCCCTCAGCAGTAGGAACCTGTATCTTCCACGCCCTGTCCACTTCAGGCCTGGCCAAGCTCATGCTTATTGTGCCTTCAGTTCCCTCTTCAACTCAGAGCCATCCCTCACTTCCCTAATGTATATTCTCAGAGTACTTAGGTATCCTCCTTTATACAACTCAACATAGATACAATACTGTATCAACCATTTATATACATGTATAATTAACATAAGTCTGTCTTACCAAAATATAAGGGTCATGAGACAAAAGAATTTTTGCTTTTATCCACCATTCTATACAGCTTCAATAAATATATATATGCATATAGATATAGATATAGATACCAAATAAATGTTAAAGACTCAAATAACTTATTCGTGTTCCCAAATTTATGTTTGGAACCTGAGCATTTTATTTATGGAGGTAGTCCAGAACTTGCTATAATGTTTCATGCAAGATAGTAATTAAAGGAAGAAGGAGGAAAACACATTCCAGTGCAGTTCTCTTCCTCACTCCTCTCCAGCTACAAGGAACAAAGGAGAGGAAAGATTATATCAAGCAGGATGCTGAAAGCTTTCCTGCTGGCAAGAACTCAAGCTAAGCAGTCATTGCATGAGAAAGAGCTTTGAGCTGTGGAGCAAAATAGTAGCTGAGAGAGAAGAGAGACAGGAGGGGCAAGAAAGGAAATCAGAAGAAATGTCAAAGTATAATCAACAACCAGAGGACAAATAGAAAGCACATAGGAATATAAGGCAGGGCCAGAGAGCAGAGGGCACAAAGAAGAGCAAGAAAGCCAAAATCCGGGGCTGGGAAGATGGCTCAGTGGTTGAGCACTTGCCTTGCATGCATGAGGCCCTGGGTTCGATTCCTTAGCACCACATAAGCAAAAAGAAAAAAGCCAGAAGTGGTGCTGTGGCTCAAGTGGTAGAGCGCTAGCCTTGAGCTGAAGAGCTGAGGGACAGTGCCCAGGCCCAGAGTTCAGGCCCCACGACCAGACCCCCCCCAAAAAAAAGAAAAAAAGAAAGTCAAAATCATACTTCTTAGTAGATGTTCCCTTTATCAGCTTAGCTCAAAAAGGGAAGCAAGTGGTCCACAAGATAGGATCTGAACATTCTGTGAGCCAGGAGTTGAACCTTGGACGGTTTAGAGGCACTAGCCTCCCAGGAGAAGACAAGGGCCACAGACTCTTACTGTTCTGGACTCTACTGCTTAGATGCAGCAGAGATGGAACCTGACTTAGCAGGTTAGTCTGTAAGGGAGTACTGGGGGATTAATCTGGAATCTCACCCAAGAGTTGCCCCCAGCACTGGACGACACAATGGACCCCTCCACTGAGGACATCACTAGGTATGTTAAGGTACTGATCAGTGTTAGAGGCTACCATGAAATGGGCACCATTCTAAGGCTCCAGCAGTACATATAACATACCAAGCCTGACTTCAAGGAGTTTATATTCCAGGGAGGGAAAGGAGAAAACCAATACAAAAGAATGCAGGGTTGGTGATGTAGCTCAGTAGTAGAACACTTGCCTTGTGAGGCCCTGGGTTAGATTCTCCACATCACAGAACAAAACAAGGCAAAAGAAATACACACTATAGTGTCATGTACAATAAAGTTCGATAGAGAAAAATAAAACTGAAGAAGCAGATAAGGATAACAAGTGTCAGAGTCTACTTGTAAGAGACAGACAGACAGACAGAGACAAAGAGACAGACAGACTTTCAGGTTGAGAGAACAGGAATCCACAGGTTTAGGGGTGGAGCATGATAGGGATACATGAGGAAGAGCAGCGGTGAATGTGGCTCAATGCTGGGGGAGCAAAGCAGGAAAAGGAGAGGTAGTGAGAAGAGAGAGCTGCAGAGACAAGGGTGGGCCAGGAGAGCAGAGAAGACAATCACAGCAGAGACAGAGACAGCACTGAGCACAACCCCAGAGGGCGGCTGGATCCTGACATCAGGGCAATTCCACAAGGCCAGTGGCTGTTTTCTGTCCTAATCTACTCTTCTTTACACTGTCCTTGTAGTAAGGCCCTATTTACCAAAATCATCTGAAAAAAGTACTTACTCAAGCTTACGTTATAATTCACCATTTTGCCCACCTGTTGTTTGATTTTCACCACAACCTGCCCACCGTGTTGTTTGATTTTCTTTCTTATCCAGAGCAGTTTCCCACTTTCACCTCAGCCTTGTTTGGTCTGTCCTCTGCTCCTGGACTCATCCCTTTGCAACAACTCAATGCACTTAGCTGTCTATTGCTTAGGGAAAAAAAAAAATCAAACAAACAATATCTGAGCACTACA